TGCCGTTGAGCGACAGAATTGGCGTTTGAGGGTTAGGACGCGGCGGTGCGGGCGAATGTCTTCGCTCCGCTTCTTCCGCAACTTCCCCTCTTGGGAGTTGTTGAAGGCTGGTCCAAAGCTTTCCCACGCAACCGAAGCGAACAGGACTGTCGACAACATCCACAGTTTGTCGGTAAACCCAGCATTCTCCGCTCACGCCTGAAGCTATAACAATGTTGCCAGCATCGGCCTTGACGGTGAACGCGCCTGTGGGAGGTGGCGCCTTGAAGATTGGGCTCGTCACTGGCGTTGAAAGAGGCACTTTTGGAGCTTGAAGAAGTACGTCAACAAGCTTCCCCGTCTTCAGGGAGTACAACTCAACGGAAGTCTGGTAGAACTCGATCGCAGGGGTGAACCGCCCAGAGGGCCCTCCTTTCTGGCTGCCGTCCGCTCGGGGGCTGCCAGGAACTTCGCGCTCTTCAGCGATGGTCTCATTTGCAGTTTGAATGGCGATTTCTGGCGATGTCTGTGGTAGAACTGGACCGTGGACAACGACGGCGACCAGAGGGCCAAGCTCAGCCTGGTCGTTTGGAGTGGACCAAGGCAGAATCTTTGCGTTGTACACACCACCCCGAAGTCCCTTGAGGCCGGCAACACGGTCGAGGCCACGTTTGGTCACGGAGTAGACTTCCAGGCCACCCTCGTACCCCGCCAGTGCGACGTTGTCCGATCCCGGAACAAGCTCGGTGTGGGGAGACGGCAGATTGTCGAAGCCAAAATGGTAGCCTTTGTCACCAGCCTTCAAGCCGGCTTTGGAGGCCATGTCGAAATCGATATCCGGGGCGCCATAAAAATGCGGCTGCGGTTGGTGGGGAAGTGGAGGGTGAGAACCAACTCTTGCGTGGGACAGCTGCGACTGCATGGAGCTACGGCGAAAGGCTGCAGCTGCAGCCGGTTGATGGTAGGCCTCAAGTGGATACTGGGCATCCATTTGGAAGCTGAGTGGGCGCTTCATATGATTTGGCATGCTGTTTGGGGGGGAGGGCGACGCAGTTTGGGGAGTCAAGGACTGGCGCTGGACAGCCCACCCGTGGTGGAGGCGACCGGAATCCTCGTAGGAAGACGGCTGGGTAGGCGGAGATTCACCCATGAGGCTAATCAAGTTTCCTGGAGAACCAGCAAGGCCTCCTCTTGCCCATTCGTGGTTTGTGCTTGCAGCAGTACTCGCGGACACAGACGTCGTGGAGAGGGCATCCAGGGTCGGCGAGATGGTGGGGTGCCCATCGTAGGGTGACGAGCCTTGGGCAATGGGTCTGATGTCGGGGGAGTTGACGGGAGGCGACGACGCATCGGAGGGGGGACTCTTGGAAGGACTGCCGTTTCTTTGAACATGTCAGTGGAAGTTGTCGCGACAAAGGTTTGAAGCAAAGATGCAGAACAAGGCAGCAGTGACTCAAAGGTGCTGATGGCGGGGTTCAGGAGAGGGGAGTAAGAACGTACGCAAACTTGCCCGCGGCGAGTTTCGTCACCGCGGCGCTAACTCCACCATCTTTCGCGTTCTTTCTGTCCTTCTTAGAGCCTTTTTTGAGAATATTCATGAGTATGATGTTCGTCTGCTGAACCTGGCGCGTATGCGTCAGAAGCGCGGAGTAGGTCCGAACTTACTCGGCATTCAAGTGGTGTTGCGCCGCAGTTGGAGCAGTTTCCTGCTCCAAGAACCTGCGTTCCCGCAAGGTAGCTCTACCCTTTCAGAGAATACGAGTACTTTGAATGTATGGAGAGTCGTGGAGGATCGCGATAAGAGGTTCGATGGTGGTATGAGGGGTATCGGGTTAAGCGACGGTTGGTTGGGTCTATTAGAGATGACGGAACGCGGCGAGAAAAGCGGCAGATGACCTCGGAGGGTGAAAGTGCCGCAGACGCTGGGATATGCTTCGGTTTGAACGACGGCTCGATATGGCAAATGGAGAAAATAGGCAAGTTGTGCCTCGTATCGTTGGTGCAAGTTGTCGTTGGTGAAGGTTGTACGGAAGAAGCAGAAGTGTAAAGAGCGGCGTTCTTTCCAGGCACAGCCAAAATGGAGAGGAAGTAATTACGGTCGCAAGTGAAGAAACAGTCTATAGAAGGAAACAGAAGAGGAAAGACGTGACGGACGTGACAGGACGTGACGTGACGAGTATGTTCACGGGAATGCTGCTATCGTAGTTTGGTTTGGTTGTTGTTGATGAGTCGAAGGGAAGGAGCACGGGGGAAGGAAGTGAGGTCAGTCATGGCGACAGGTAGGTAGGTAGCATAGCAGGTCCCCGGTACGGAGTAGGTAGGTGCTGGTACGTGCTCCCCGCCAGCAGGTCTCCAGTAGGTCAGGCCGGGCCTGGTCAGGTACACCACCATCAAATCACAGGCGCGCCGGGGTCGTCTAAGAATGGGTACAGCGGTACATCGGATGCCGTAATGGAACAGAAGAGGTCAGATAAGATACGGGAAGCCGGACCTTCCTTACACAGCGCCTCCCCTCCTACCATCAGCCCAACTAACCTGCCACTTCCACTTCCACATTGCGACGCAGTACTTCATTTACCCCTCGCGACATCCTTCAGAGTCCACCTGCACTTTCGTCCCTCAGCAGGTCACTGGTGCAGCAGCTGCTCTCCGCGGGAGGGAGCGGGGCGTTTGCGTGCTTTCGCAGCTCGACAACCCGAGGACGGCGCGGTGCCCCCAAGGTGTCACTCACTGAATGCCCCCCCTCCAAACCACCCCTCCACGCCCTCCACTTCAATCAGGACAGCCAGTTGGAGGAACTGGGGCCAGGGTGCAGGGGTGTCAAGCGCAGGCAGCTGGCCAGGATTGGAATGAAAGAGGGTGGGAGGGTGAGGGGTGTTTCCGGGGAGAGGGACATCCAGGGCACTGGTGCTGCGCGCTGATGTTGCTGCTGCTGTTGCTGCTGTTTGGCACTGTCCCGCAACTGCAACTGCAAGGCAGGAGGTTCCAGGTGCGAGGTATCTTCTGCCCCTCGAGCATGGCCTCCGGTACATCTCGGCGGCATGTAGCGCAGGGCAGGATGCAGGACGCAGTGCGGATACAGCTACAGATACAGCGCACCAATCTGGAGCCAGCCTTCTTCATCGGACAGGGGGTGGTTGGGACAGGTTGAAGATGATAAAGTCTTCCGAGGTATTCTTTGTGCTAACAATAGCCGCAGAAATACCTGTTTCGATCTCGGGATACTTGGCACTGCAAGCCATTAAGGTACGGCGGTACGTATCCCAGACATCAGCAACAGACACTTGCTGCTTGACACTCAGGTAGACACGCCCAGGCCTCTCTCTACGCGGTAGAGCAGTCGGGTCTGGCCTGGCCTGGTCTGGTGTCCCGGAGTTCAGTCCAGCCCAGCCATCAACAGGAGCAACAATCGCATTATCTGCGATACGCCTCCAGCAGCTCTTTCAACACGGAACCGCAGATGCGCGGTAGTCCTCTCCTTGTGCGAAATCGAAGACGCAAACATCAAAGTCACATCCGCTTGTCAGAGGGACACGATCCAACGCTACGAATTCAATCTTTGTCTGAGACCCCTCGTCTCGCTCAACACTCACCATCTCTTCTTCCATACACTTCCACCGATTTACCATGTGCCTGACGGTTGGCCTCCCACACCACACCACACTCCTGGTGCTAAGCTGAGCTCTGCATACGCATACAGAGTCTCTTCTGCCGAGGCCGGCGACGGGCAACCCAACCTTGGAATCTGTCTCTGTCTCTCTCACTCTTTCTTAGCAGTCAGGACGCAGGCGGCAACGGCGCCGGGTCTAGTCAGAGCCAACCCAGTCAACCAATACCAAGACCAATGCCGAACTGACACTCCCATTGTCACTTACTCCTTCCACCTTCTCCCCCTCATCCACCAATCTCGCTCATCAATCTCCGTCAAATCACTACAATCTCACCCCTGTGTCCGGGACCAGCTGCTGACGCCTGGGCTGTGCGTGCCTACACACGCCTGCGCCCGCAGTGGACGACGGATGATAGTAACGATCCGGGGGTGACCGATGCCATCATTCCGCTTTGGCCTGGTGACGGCGGCGCAGACACAACCTGCTGGACGCTCTCAACCAAGCTTCCCCCGGAACAACAGCACGACGGTTCGTACACTAAAATAACGGTTGCCCGTCTTTCACCTACCGCCAACCTGGAAATTGCCTCGCAACCTCGCTTCTCCATGGCTCTTTACGGTGTGCCGTCGCCCATCCCATTTTACCCCCCCGTCCCCGTCATCGGTCACCCGTCCATCCTATCGCGCGCCAGCTGTTAAACTGCCACACCCGACACTCTTCTGGCCAGACCATCCAACTGACAAAGACACCTGACCCCTCGGTGGAGGACGGGGGGCCACCAAGTCAGGTGAACGGGCCACTCATAGCTCTCCCGTGGCCCACGAGAACAACACACCACCACTGACGTAGGTAGGGCTCTCCTGGTACCCCTCCTTATGCCCGCGGGCTCGCATCTCTGAGAACTCCTCGAACCTCTCAACCCTCACCGTTTCAAGATGAGATGCCGGTTATGAAGTCATCTGTTGGGAAAGCTGAGTTCTGGCTATCGTCGGGTCATTACCTAAGACAACAGCCCCAATCCAACGAGGCGAAGCGAGGCGAGATGGTGCAGGACGAGGCGACGCGGACGACGCATGGCACGGGGACGCCCGTGGTCGCGACCTCGTCGAAGCGCAAGCGCATGGAGCGGTTTGAGGTCGGAGCTACTACCGGATGAATCCATCGTCATCGATGAGATCAAATTCGATGCGCTCCCGTCCGTCAGCCTGAGAATGGAACACCGGAATGCCATCGTGAAAAGGCGCAGTCAGTGGGTTCGACAAAACACACTTTGCGCCAATTCCCAGCGTCTCGTCCAACATCTGTCTTTCGGCGGATAATGCCATGGACGTACGTCGTCCAATTCTAAATTTGCCTTGACAACTCCCAGCCTCTCGGCTCTACAGTGTCCGAGGTGTCGCATTCGACGCTTCAAAAGTTGGACTCAGAAGGCAGTGGCCCCTCAATCGGAGCCCACTGGTCCAGCCAGACCCGATAATCATCCATTCGCCATTCACCATCGTGCTTCTGCCATGCCGCACTCCCAGCCCAACTAAACACGTTCTCACTTCCATCCAGCCCCTTTCTCCTGACACCACCCTTCAACATGACGTGCACACCCTGCTCGGTTACTGACCCGATTGCGCTCGTGATCCAGTGCTTCCTCGCCGCGACTGAGCCCCACATCTCCGTCCGCAGCTGCCGGAGGTCTTGATCCAAGTGTCAGCTTACGGCTGCAACTCATCACCCGCGTCGTACGTACTCTCGTGCTTCTCGGCCGCCTGCGGTCCAATCTTGACTCTCGCGTCCGGCGTGAAGAACGCCAGCCATTGCTCGTTCAGCTCCTTGTTGTCGCTCGTCCGGTAAAAGTCCCTGAGGCGGAGCCGAAGGTCCCGGTCCATAGCCGTCTCGGTCGGCGAGAACGGCTCCAGCCGTGAGTAGCTGTCGTACGGCTCGACGCCTTCTGTCGCTGCGAATTCTCCCATTTTTCGACTTCGTACAGTGAACTTGTTTCTGTTCCTCACTGATACTAGGTTCAACGTATGCGAGCACACACCAGCGAGCGGCGGAGGTGTGTGACGTTTATACCCGTCCCAAGTCCCAGTGTTAGTCAAGTCTTCGGCCCGGGCACCTTGACGGCACCCGAAATTCGGAACTGTTATCCGGGGAGGGAGAACATCATGAGAGTCGGAATTTCCGTTGCGACGATGGTGCAATTGCGCGGCTAACGCACAGCAACCTGTCGTAGTCTTCAAAACTACCATGCGATAGTTGGATCGGTAATCAGAGTCGTTGAGATTCCTCCCTGTGGATGCGGGCTGAGTGCCGCCTTTCGCGGGGTTCCGAGGTTGATGTGGGCGTCGCCCCTCTTAGTACTGCAATCAGCTCCACCGAGCATCTCACCAAGAGAGGCTTAGCCTCTGATATCTCCCCTTGGTGTAGTTGGTTCATCACGTTCGACTGTAATGGTTACATTGTCATCGAAAGGTCTCTAGTTCGATTCTGGAAGGGGAGAACCAATCTTTTTTGTCGGGTTTTGCCATTGCACAATTGCATGCTGGGGCGTATCTGTGGTTGTGCATTTCACTGAGAGGGACAGCATTCCAGTGAAGTTCTTGGCGCTAGAGGCTCAGCAACGTTACTTTGAGCATTTAACTGGCTCTTACATTCACTTTTCACATTTATTTGGGTCATGTTGTCGCGGCACATATGGTATTGCTATTTTTGCCGTTTGAATAATTAAATGTTAGCTGCAGACTTGCCCGCGAAGACTCTGCAAAGCCTTTGACTTGGAGACCAAAACCTATCCCCCTATATTGATCCTCCAGAGGAACCAAGACATTGGAGCGTGAGCAGTGTGGTTCAGTGAGCTTGTGGCAACTGACAAGTTAGTAACAGTCAAACCGCGAAGTTCAGAGGCTTTGGATAAGTATTGGGCGGAACTGTCCGTACAGGCGAGATGTGTGCTGTTGGGGTGGCCAGCTTTGCCGGCGCATAATATGTACTCAATGTACCTGCTCGCTATCTGTGAGATGCGGCGGCCGCGCGGATATTGGAATGGAATGCGGATGGCCGCTGATGAGAAGTCCTCATGCTGAGCGCGTTTTTGTTGTTGTTTATTATGAAGTTTTCGTTTCTACGGGCTGCAGCGCGGTGCGAGTGACTGTTGGTGATTGGCGCCCTAGTGCCGGGCGTGTTGTTTTTCTTGCTGCTGCAGATGTCAGTGTTGTCTTTGCCGACGGCAATGGGCCATTACTTACGTCGACAGTATCTGGGAGCATACGTCGGGCAGGGCGATAAGCACAATCGTCTGTGGTAGCTTGCTCTCTGGAAAGTTGCCGGTGGATGGATCGATGTCATAGTGGTAGCGGTGGTTGGGGAAGGCTTGGTCGATATCGCTCAAGTCGTCGTCGCGGAAAGGGAGAATGACGGCTCAGTCTTGCTACCGATCCCACGGTCTCTGGCCACGCGTTTCTTCGTTTCTCAGGTGCTCTCGTGTGGCCATCAGCGCCTTTCCCAAGCGGTTCTCTCCCCAGTGCTTTCGTTGGTTCATGGCATAGTTTGCACTGTATCCGGTGCCCCAAACGCGGTCTCGAGATGCCGCTTCACACAGCAGGCGGCCATGCGTAGAGAGCAGTTTTCTTGCGAGGTGTGGGTTCCGGCTGAACTTAGCAATGTTGCCTACCTCTACGACTGCGCTCTTGATGGGATCCCAAATCTCGTCGGTGAAGCCTGCTTTGTGGTAGTCTTTCTCGCTTGAGGAGCCATGGCGATTTAGTGGTGGTGGTGGTGGTGTGTTCTTATGAGTTGTAAAAGACCAATAGTAAGAGTATCTACGGTAAGGGTATGACAAGAGTACGGAGAAGGGAAGTATGCATCTGCCTAAAAGTTGGGCAAGACTCTTATATTATAATCCGTTCACAGGACCTCTTAAGCGTAACTGTGTTTTACTTACTGTACATTAAATAGTTAAGCTGAAGATGAACTAGACATTAAGGCCAACAAAGGTAACACCTATAGTAAGACGGAGAACCTTTACAACCTTCAGCTTTTGAGAGGTAATTTAGTCACTTCATGACATCAGAACATCACCAGTGACGCATAAGAAAAGAATCAGCCCATTCTACTCAATGCCAAACATTAATCCGTCGAAAAACACTGGCATTTCAGCTTCAGTAATTTGCTTCGAAGGCAAAGGCAGAGACTTCTCCCACGCACGAACCTTTCGAAGACGACTAACCCAGAAGACAAAATGGTTGCAGTGATGTGTAACAAGGTGCTCGAAAATTCGGATACCTGGAAGCTAGATAGTACTATTTAAATGCGGCACCCTCGGCATCATCCTGTCGTTTCCTTTTGATTGTTCATCCTACAATCCCGATTTCGCAGCTCCAGCTTTACACTTTCGTCAACAAATTGACTCTGCCAAGCTACAGCTAAGATGTCTGCCAACTCTCTGGTTTCCCTTAAAACTCTCCTCGAGATTGGATTCTCACAGGAAAAGACAGAGCAACTCTGGACGAAGTGGTCAAATTGGCCGGAAGGGCCCGTTAGCCGCGAGACAGACCCTTATGATGGGGGCCTGCAGATGACGTTCGACCACTTCTTTGTTGCAGGCCTCGAGAAAGACGACGGAGATGTTTGGGGCGACGACGAAACAGAATGGCGAAACTCACTCACTCGCTACGGCATCAACAGCGACACGCAAGATGCCATTATGGACCCCGAATTCAAACACCTTCGCTTGGCTCAGTCTGCACGGTTCTGGGCTAAAGACACCGTCGAGATGCGCTACGCCTGGTTGCAAAGATGTGCAAACAATTCCACGGCACCTCCGCCCCTACAATCGTCAACAGCGAATAACGATGGCCAGGCACCCAACAACATTCTGCCTGAAGGTAGTCGTGGGCCTCCGTACAAACTGAAACTGTACAAAGCTGCAGACTTGGGTCGTGCCCATCGGCTCTTCGACGAGAACGGAGCGTTTGAGTGTATCGCGGATCTTCGAAGTCCTGCTCCTTCAGACTTCTCTGGACATTCATCAGCATTCTACTTCAGCCCCGATATCGAGGTCGCCCAACTCGAAGGCGCTTACGCGAAGCGCAGGGCGAGTCGCTCATCAATCGCGCTCATACAGATAACGATACCAGTCGATGAGATTGACAAGCTGCCAGACGAAGAGGTTCTCTCTGGCCTGCACTGGACGGACCTCCTGTGGAAACAACTAGTCTGGTCATCTCGAAGAGGAGAGATTCTATCGGGCGACCTCCGCGAATATCGCGGAGTTACTATCATCGTTGGTACTAAGGCTCGATTGCCGAACGCAGTTTACAGTAAGACGGAATCTCCAACAGATATCAAGAAGGATCGTGTCTACATGGTCACCGAAAAGTTTGAGTCTCCGTCGGCAATTCAGTGGATGTTTTCAGCTGAGGGTGAGGGTTTCTTGAGAGATCACGGCTGCTTCAAAGTCGTTAGCTATTTCTAAGTAGATTTGCTATCTGAGCAGACATCTTTACTATCTTTGGCACCAACTACCTAATTATGCCAGTGCTACATCTTGATATTTGATCCACTCACAGAAAGAGGCTTATGTATTCAAGGATGACTAAAAAGAACTAATCACCAAGTATTGAGAGGCTGCACCAGTTACTTCATATGGGTTTGAGCTGTTATTAGATTCATAAGCCTTTGTGCAATCAATCACGCACCTAGTAAGGCCAAGAAAAATACCGAGGACAACAGCGAAGATCAAAATGACAGTCGACTTACATCCTCCATAAGTAACTTAGAATCACCCATGTGTAAGAGACATGTCCAACTCCGCCCGACGCTTCGTAGTATGGATGGCGGAGTCGTCAAGTCAGTATGCGGGTCGAACAATCTTATATAATGGTCAGTTGGTGATCCTGAGACCTTTCCCCCTGTAGATTATGTTCCGCAGCTTCTTCCGCCTTGCACAGCAACAAAGATCTTTTCTTCACCCAGCATAACTGTCAAAATGCCCTACCACTACGTCATTGATATTGGCCAACGTAATGAAGCGGTGCGATAACGAGATGCATTCCAAATGCCGTAGTTTTAAACTCGTACCACGCAGGGCACATGCCGCATCAGGCTCATTCTTCAACTTGGCAGACCTCAAAGTAATGCAACCACTGAGCTGTTCTTGCATGAGAGCTCCACAGACTGTCTGGGGTTCGATTCGCAGACGGCCCCTGAACATCAACGTCCCACACCGGTGGAGTCCAATAACACAAAGATCTTCATTGGATTAGTGAGGGGTCGCTCGGGTAATAAAAATCTCGTGGCTCCCAGGATTTGAAACGTGGTTCTCCCGGAAGCACCGGCCAAGACCTCGGACATTGACATCGTCAACCATGGCTCAGATTTTTTTGTGAGTTGCTTTGCTCATCGCCGTCTCACCGAAGAGATCAGATATTGACCAGAGATTCACAGTGTTGGCGGTACAGGCCACATCGGCGGCGCTGTGCTTGAACTACTTCTCAAGCAACATGCCGACGCCAAAGTGAAGGTCTTGGTGCGGGATGAGGCAAAGGCGGAGCGTCTGGTCAGCAAGTACCCGCAGGTCAGCTACGTCGTCGGTGACACGGGCAACTTTGAGCTTCTCGAGAAGTGCAGCAAGGAGGCCGATATTGTTATCAACACCTCTCCTGACATCACGCACGATGCGGGCATCAAGGCGATCCTCGCGGGCCTGAAGGCGCGCGAAGGACCCAAGGGATACTACATCCACACGTCGGGAGCTTCTCTCATCTGGGACGAGCCCGCCGGCTCCAAGGACGCCCGCTGGTGGGACGACATCAAGGACATCAAGGACATCCTCGCTTTCAAGGGTGAAGCCCACACGCACGCTGTGACCGACAAGATCGTGCGCGATGCCGCCTCAGACGTCAACGTGGCCATTGTCTCGCCCGGCTTCGTCGGCGGCATGAGCCCTTCCATTGAGCACCCGACCCCGATCACCACGCCCGCCATCTTCCTCACCGCCCGCGCCATGAAGACGGGCTGGCAAATCGCAGAGGGAGAGAACACCCACGCCTGGATCGACGTCTCCGACCTCGCGAGAATCTTCCTGATCCTCATCGGAAAGGCCATCAACGGCGCGTCAGACTCTGAGCCGTTTGAGCTCTGGGGACCGGAGGCGTACTACTTCGCCACTGGCGAGGATATCTCGTTCGCCAAGTTCATGAAGCACCTCGTGCCCGTCCTTAAGCAGCACGACGTTATCGAAACCGAGGAGATCAAGTCGGTCAGCGTGGTCGAGGCCGCGAGAACCAGCATGGGCGGAAGCGACTACGACCCCGACGACACGCCGCCGCCGCCTGACACCTGGGCCATGCACATTGCCATCATGTACGGAATCAACATGCGCGTCAGCGCTTCCAGGATGGAGAAGCTTGGCTGGAAGGCTGAGAAGGGCAGCGTCGTCGACACCTTCCCTGAGGTCGTCACCGAGTTTTTGAAGCGGGAGAAGAAATAGTCTAGCTCGCTGTCGTTTCTTATGGACAACATTTCACGACCTGGCAAGATTGGAGGTGGTTTGTAAAAAGAAAAGGACATGTACGTGTGTGGGGGGCGGATTGCTTTCTATTGCCGCAAGGCAGAAATCTACGCATGTATCTCTAATAGCTTCGCTGCTCACTTAGGCGCTGGGGAGTGTTTTTGCTACAGCGCAGCATTTGATACTGGTTTCAGAAACAAAAAAGTTACTATATCCTTCATTAAAGATCACCAATTACAATAAAACTCGTTGCCTGGAACGTGAATGATCTTAGTTTCGGTCTCATGCACCCATCTATTTGTGTTAGAGCAAGCTATCTATTGAGAGTCAAATCACTCAGGTGACGTCGCAACTTTGGAGTAAATGAGTGAGTCTAGAAAGACGAGAGTTTTACATGAGGGCGTGCAAAATGAACTAAGAACTGTATGACTATCTGGTCATGAAGACAGCCGTAAGTGAGACAGATGCTTTTACCCCGAAGTCTCTTATATTGTGTCTGTTCCAGTCTTTGTGGCCTAAATCTCACTTCCAAAGAAATTTGAAACCTGACGGCCTTGATTGTGTTTAGTACAATCAGAGCGTGAGACTTTCGAGTGAAGCAAATTTTATTTGACATTCGTTCAATTGCATAGTCGAGCAAAAGCTAATCTAGTTTGGTCAAACATTCCAGATGAAGTACTTAGCGCGCGATTCAAATCCACTTCCCGTCAATCGTCTAAGTTGATTGGGTTATCAATGCTCCCGCCCTTGCCTTGCAACGCCTTTCCCCTTGCCACAGATGACAATACTTGCGCCGAACCGACACTCTGTGTTAGCGGATGTCTGACGGAATTAACCGCGGAGTAATGCTTCCTCAGCGTTTTCACAACTTCGCTGACACCATCTTCTTGGGGCTGGCTAGTCTCTCGTGACACTGACAATTCATTCCTATTCCTTGGTGAGGGAAAGCTCACAGATCCTTCTCTGACTTGATTGGTAGGTTTGAGCGGTGTTGATTTGTCGACAATATTTAGTGGCTTGCTTGCCGCTTCAAGAACACCTGACAGTACTGCCCCTGAGCCTATTTCTTGGGATGAAGAGTCGCCTAATAAATCCAAGAAATGGTCGTCGTATAATTTGAATTTTGCCGGGGGGTTGGATATTGCCGGTTGTTTAGACCGTGATGTTACTAGAGGAGAATCTTCTGCATTCCTCTTTCGGCCGCGCTGTCCTGTCTGGATTCTGGGTGACGCTCTTTTCTTAGATGCAGTTTTGCAATTTCCACTTGACGCTTTCGTTGGGCCCTTCCGCCATTCGAAGAATTCCTCGTCGGACATTCCCCAGCCGAGAACCGCGTCCAGAATCACAGACTGAACACTTTCAAGAGGCTTCCCCACGACAGCGCTGTCAGCCTCTTTTCCAGTCCGAATCCCGTTAAGTACAGGCATTCCTTGAGGACATCTAGCTTCCTCAATGCCTGGAAATATCTGGCGTGGGTCAATGTCGACAACGCTGGTGACCTGGTTCTTCTGCCTAACATTCTTGACGAGATCGCGAGCGCCGGGTTCTAGGGCCAGTAATCTCTGGTTCAAGGCAACGGGCGCCAGGTGACGAAACCACCATTTTGACGGTTTATTGTAGTGAAATCTGTCTCTCATGTGCGGTATGGTTGTGCGCAAGCTCTCTGTGGAATGGCGTTTGTACCAGTCACCCTGTATGCAGTCTAGGTTGCGTAGTTCGTTATCGCTGGAAACTTTGGGATTTCGGCAATATCCCAACGCTTGAAAGTTCGGAAACTGGCTGATGTTCGCTTTGTCTTTGTCGAAGTGAGATCTCAACGTGGGGCTGAGATTGCCCAGTTGGGCCTCTAGTCGCCTTCGCCACAGATTCCAGCTGCTTTCGCCCGCATTTGCCGATGTTGCTGAAAACTGTTCCACAAGTATCTTCTTTGTAGCCAACTCTCGGCCAACAGCCGTACTACAGCCGTGCAGGCCTTTGGTGTAGTCGCACCCCGCCACCATGGCATACAAAACGATACCATTCGCTGAAATACCCGTCTTCCGTTCGATGTCTCTCAGCCGATAGACTTTTGCTTCGTCTTTGCTCTTTTGTCCATTGCTTTTGAGGAGATTTTTGACGAGGACGGTGCACCCAAACATCAGCGTATCCGAGTCCTCCGACCAGACCGCATCTACTAGGCCTAGCCTCTGTAGGACAGCGCATTCAGCCTCGGCTTCGCCAGGAGCCTGGCGCCAGGGTATGTGGAGTTTCGTCAAGGTTTCCTTGAAAAACCCGCTGTTCTCTTCCCTGGCCTTTCGTCCTGTAGAATCCTCGGTCTTCTTGTCGCGCTTGACATCTGGCCGTCCTTCACCATCGAACACAAAGATGATCTCGATACCGATGTGCACCAGGGACCAAATGCGATCGAGCATGTTCAACTCGCGTGGTCTGGCCGGAGGAGTTCCTAGATAGGCAAATGTTAGATGTGCCTCATTTCGGTTGTTGGGCAAGTGTAAGTAAGGACTCGGGAGGAAGGAGCATGGGCAAGCTGGGTGCGTAGGATATCAAACGCAATAGAGCAGTGTGGCGACGAACTTCTCTTGATCTCTTCGAAGGCTTCAACAGTGATGGCCTTGTAACGCCAGTGCGCCTCATCTATAGCGATCCGCAGTGGCCGCCTATGCTCCTTAATATGGTCCGCAGCCCATCGTGCTAAGGAAGTGTCGATGCCGGTGTCTTTGATGACATCCCAGAACCTAAAATGGACAATCATTAGCACAATTCTGCCCATGCTTCGCAGTTGAAACTTACCCATTGATTCCCATGGTCTTAATCTAGAAGTTGCAAGGAAAGGGCGTCTGACTGGGATGAGGTTCGCGGGCAGCAGCTGCTGGTTTGAGATCGAATCCAAGGGCGGCAAACCGACGACTTAAATACGTGAAAAGGAAGAGGGAACCGTATAGAATTAAATCGAAGTGAAAATA